TCCGCTATGCGACTCCAAACTCACTCTTGGATCATTCTGGAAACGGGTCAATTATCTCCTAGTTCTTTCTTCCCAGCAAAATCTTCGGCTGAATATCACTGGGGGACAGTCCTGAGCTTGAAAACCTGAATTGAGGTTGCCGTCCACCCTCCACCCGGCCAGAGGAAGGGTCCAAGCTGCTGATGAAGCCTGAAAACCCCCTGCCCAAGGCTCTCAGAGGAAAATCCAGGGCCTTCCAAGGCTGGACGCCCCGCTTGCTGCAGTGGGCCCGGCCGCCCCTTGGCAGGTGGTGCTGGGCTCTGGGTCCTCTTTCCCAGAACTGCAGAGCTCCTGGGGTCCGGTGGAAGAGGCAGCCTTGGCCAGGCCCAGGGGCCCCAAATGCCAATGATGCCCAGCGTCCCTGGTTAAATCACAGCAGGAGAGGGCAGGCCACCTCCTCCCTGACCTTCAGACTTTTCTTCCAAAATGTTAATTGGTCCTTACTTCAGGGAAAATGGGCGTCCGATCCTCTGTCCGAGGTAGGATGTAACAGCTATTAGACGGGCCGGGGTGGGCTGGGGTTCCGCCTACTCTGGGGACAGGGTGCCCTGCCACACACTGGCTGACACAGGACAAGTTCTTTGACCTCTCTGTGTCTACTTCTCTAATTGTCCCTACTCAGGGGGAATCATGAAAATCAGCTTAGTCAACGGATGAAAGTCTTTGAGATTGTCGCAGACCGAAAGCCCTTAGCAATTATTAGTGGCTGACACCAACGTGATAATGACAGCCATGGTTACTGCTGTCATCAGCACTGTCTGTGGCAAGGGCTACAGGAAGACCCCACAGCCCTCTTGGCCTGACCCCCACCTCCCTCACCTGACCTCCCCCCTCCTTCCCTGCCCAGCCACCCACTCCCTCCCCAGCTGTCCCCGCTAGGGCGCCCTCCTCCCTCACCCCTGCGCCCTCCTCCCTGGAGGAATCAGCCCGCCCGGGGCTGCCTCCTCCACGAAGCCCTTCAGCCTGCCCCTCCCCCAGCTCAGAGCGCCCTGGCTGCCAGCACTGGAGCTGTCACCCCAGTCTTTTCATCGGCGTCCCTGGTCACAGAGCCCTCTAGCACGGTGTGGGTGCGCCCGGGGGTCACTGAACAAGCACACACAGAATGGGGCGCCGGGCTCCCCTGCATGCTCCGTGGGTGCCCTCGCTGCCCTATCTGAGCCCCGTTTCCCTGCTGGAGGAGGGTGTGATGGCCCCAGCAGGGCCCTTCCTTCC